TCAGCATATTGCCCCCAACAATCCGGGTCCTCATTTCACCCACCTCGGAAGGATGGAAGGCTGAGTCAACCTTGAGCTGGTGAGATTTGAACCGCAGATAGCAGTCAGCTGAAGTGGCCTGCAGTACTTCACTCTAACCACTGTGCCACCTCAGCACCTAAGCCCCATAAGTAAGCCTGTTTCCTATTTAATGGAATCATCCCTGAGAAATAAACTGAATAGCACTTAGACTTATATACCACTTCACAGTGCTTTTACAGCCCTCTCTAAGCGGTTTACAGAGTCAGCATAATTGCCCCCCAAAATCTGGGTCCTCATTTTATTGGGAGGATGGGAGGCTGAGTCTGGTGAGATTCGAACTGCCAAATTGCAGGCAGCCAGCGGTCAGCAGAAGGAGCCTACAGTGCTGCACCCTAACCACTGCACCACCGCAGCTCATAGAATAGAATCTATGGCATGCATGTCACAGGTAGCACGCAGTGCCCTCTCTGCGGGCATTCCAGCCATTGCCCCAGCTCAGTTCTACCATGCATGCGTCTGTGCCTCCTGCTGGCCAGTTGGTCTTCAGGTCTCTACCACGCAAGTGCAGGGGGCGAGGCCTTCCCTGATGCCCAGAGGTGCCCCCCCCCAAGCGCACCCTACCTTTCTCCTCCATTTCTGCTGCCCACACCAACCTGGAAACCAAAACAGGGAATGGAAGGGGGGCCAGGATGCATGCATGTGGAGGGGCTCACATTGCATTTTGGGGATTGGGGCATGCACACGAGCATGTGTGCACATATGCATGCATGCACACATGCACATACTTGGGCACTTGGCACCAAAAAGGTTAACCATCACTGGTTTAGAAGTTCCATGGCGACTACACGACAGAAAAAAAAATCCTTGCACCCCAAAGGTCTGTGTCAATTTAGCAATGGGAACCACAGCCTAATCATTGCCCAGACTGGGTGGTCTTCGGGGAAGTGACTGGAATGGAATGGCGGACCACTTGCCTTGCGATTTAGTGACAGCCATGACCATGATCGGCACTCCAACCACAGAGGAGAGAACCCAGATGCAAACATTGATCAACTTCGCTTTAGCCGGAGTCCGGAAATCCAAGGCCTTGACTGGGTGGCAAACGGCAATGTACCGGTCTACGCTCATCATTGTGAGGGTGAAGATGCTGGTGAACATATTGTAGTAGTCAATGGAGAGGACGACTTTGCAAAGCAGTTCCCCAAAAGGCCAGGTCTCCATCAGGTACTTAGCGCTCTGGAAGGGCAGAGTGCTGGTGGCCAAGGCATCTGCCAGGGCTAAGTTGAAGATATAGATGTTGGTGGCAGTTTTCAACTTGGTGTATCTACAGGGAAGAGATAAGGAGAATGAGATGAATTGCAACTTTCACTGAAGATATATATGTTGTATTTGTGCTGATAAATAAATAAAGGGAGACTAGTATAGATCTATTTCAAGCTATTTAGCTCTCATCAGCTAGCCATACCCTTACTGGGATTCGAACCTGGGATGTATTACATCTTAGGCAGGTCTTAACCATTAAGCCACAGGTACCCCTCCTATATATATATGGATATGGATATGGATATGGATATGGATATGGATATGGATATGGATATGGATATGGATATGGATATGGATA